TAGCAGTCAGCTGAAGTGGCCTGCAGTACTGCACTCTACCCACTGCGCCACCTTGGCTCTACAAGGGGAGCCAAGGGGAGATACATGGGGAGAAGGGTTTCACATTGTTGCAACAATGTGAAAACTTTGTGCCAGAAGGTGTGAGAAAATAGCTGTTTATCCCTCCCCTTTGAATAGCAGACGCAGAGAGAAGATCTTGTACTTCGTCCTGGCTTTGGAGGCTTAGATTTGCTTGTTTTTTTCTTTGTTACTTTACAAAGTTCAAAAGTAAAAAGATAAAAACTAACAAAAACTATTAATCAAGAAGAACAGAAGAGAAAAAGGCGTAAAGAGAGAGAGGGAAGAAATGCAACAAAATTAAATAAAAATTAGATATATTAAATCAAAAAATCTTGAAGATCAATTTGCAGTTCAGACCAGAGGTATCTCTCTTGGGGTTGATGGATAAAAATTTGGAAAATGCACATGGTGATCTGTTTTTGTATATGATAACAGCAATGAGACTCCTATATGCTCAATAGTGGAAAAATTCATTTGTACTTATAATGGAAGAATGGTTGATAAAGTTGATGGAATTGGCTGAGATGGTGAAAATGACTAAAGAAAAGACATTGAGTTACTTTAACACCAATTTGATGCCCCTATTGAACTTTGAAACAGAAAAATATAAAATAACGATGTATAGATTTGCTGATTAATAATACTAATAGATTATTTTAAAAATAGATGTTATGCTGTAATCATAGAGCAAGAGCTTATTGTAACTTTTATTTATCCAGGATTAGATTTAAATTTGAGAGTAATTAGAACCATGGGGAATCATCCAGGAAAATCTTGGCCCTCTCTGAACTGTGCCTTGTTTCTTCTTTTCTTCATAGAGATGCTCAAGCTTAAGAAGCTTTAAGTGGGCCCTTGCACTGGTCTAGAGAGAGAAATCCTTCCAAGTTGCAGCTCTCTAAAAGCTTTATTGGTTCTATAGATGGGCAATACAGTTAGGGATGAAAAAAGAAATCTGTCACCTGTTTTGACACTTAGGGAAGCAAGTTCTGTAATATAATAATTGGCTACAGCTAGATGGGATTGATAACGAGTTTGGAAAAGAAAATAAGATTAGGAAGGCATTCTGCACTGTAGCAGCAAGCCTTGGGGCTTCCAAAACTGGAGAACAAAAGTTGCTTTGGCAGCACAAGGTACAGTATTTATTAGCTTTTTGCTGCCATCTAGTGATAAATGTCACTAACTTAAAATAGTCTGTAACATCATGAATTCTCATTCCTACTACTACTGCAATTTGGTAGAAGCAAGAAGTAAAAAAAAAATGCTAGTCTGTTAACGTCGACCCAGCTAAGTTGAAAATGGTGGTGTTGCTAATAATCTAAGCAGGCTGTTTGTGTGCAGAAATGTCTCTATCCTGTTATAACATGTTTAAGTGTAGATTAAAATCTGGATAGTCACTACTATAATCTTTTTGCGGTTTGATACTTTTCTAGGGGTGATTCTGCTAAGATTTGGATTGGGTAGCAAGCAAACAGAACCATCTCTGTCTGGCTGTCTTTGATATACTAAAAGTATACAAAAAAACAAAAAAAGTTAGAAAGCCAAGGTAAAGAGAGGAAAAAAGGAAATGAAAAAAGGAAAATAGATAATTATGCCTTTCCCCCTTTTTATAAAGTAAATATCTTAATCTTTTCCCAATCCTCTTCATCCATTTTTAATCTTTGAATCCCAAAATCATCAATCAATCTTGTTTTAACAAAAAGTCCATGCAGTATTACATTTGCAGTTTTTTTTTTAAAGTATTTTTTTCTCTCACCACAAAGCAAACCAACTCTTGT